GTTTTAGATATGGTAGGCAGTGCGCCCAACGCTCCGATCCATTTCATGTCCGCACTCAATTTCTAAAAAAGGCCCGCGGCCATGTCTCATGCCGGCACCATGCCAGCCCCGGCATACAATGCCGGCTTTTAAAAATATCACCACACAGTTCATGTTGGCGCACTCGCCAGCGGCCGGCACACATGTTAGCACACAAAAATGGGTGGACTTGAGTTCGACCACGCCATCGCGGCCCCGTGGTCATGTCAGCACACTTGTCGGCATACAAAAAGAGGACGGCGCTCGCCGCCATAGATCACTCGTCGTCGAACTTGAGCATGTCGGCCTGCATCTTCTCGAACCACGACCTCTTTCTTGGCGACACGGTGTTGAGATCCACCTTCATGATCTTCACCCTGGTCATCATGCTCGCGAGAGCCACTTCTTTCACCTTGGTCTTGGCGTTGGCGGCCTCGATCTCTAGCATCTTGGCTTGCTTCTCCGCCTCCATCTCAAGCATCTTGGCTTGCTTCTCCGCATCCATCTCAAGCCTCCTCCTTTGGATCTCCATGAAGGCGTTCATTTGCTCTTCATTGTAACGCCGGCGCTCCTCCTCCCTTGAGTCCTTCTTGCTCACCATGCCCTTCACGCTTGCGATCAAGGCGTTCGACGAGGCATCCCGCTTGTCCTCCTTCTTGGAGTTGGTCTTCCCCCGCGGTCGTGCCTTCTCGCCGTCCCCAACCTCCTCCACGGCTTGCTTCCCCCCACGCGACTTGAGGGCGGCATATTGCGCCTTGAACTTCTCCTCATCTTTGATGACCCTAAAGCAATGGGAGAGGTTAAAACACTTGCCATTGTGTTGGACCTTGAATGCCTTCAAAGCTTGAAATGCCTACAAATGTATTTCATGCAAGCATATTGGCAAATGGTATGCAAATGAACACACAAGCATAAACCTGATGACACAAAATAGGGCGGCTTGCTAGCATACCATGTCTTGCATGCGATGCCGCTCACGGGGGAGGCCTTGACGCTCTCAAGAGTGGCACAAAACTTGTTGCACTCTTGTTGGATCACCCTCCATCGCTTCGAAATGGACACCCACCCCGCGCGTGCTTACTATTTGGTACGGCGGAAACTTCTTGCGCTCATGGAACTCACGGTGGACACGAATCCAAAAAGTTGAAAGCTTTTGTTCGGCGCCCGTCTTGGGGTCTTGCCCAATGTCTCTCTAACACTCGCAAAGAAGCTTGTCCTCAGCCGCCGTGTATGCCTTGGTCCGCTTGCTCTTACGCTTCGGCTTCACCCCGACGGCTTGGTTGGCGAGCTCGTCCTCGAACAAAGGCTCCCCTTCGATGTCGCACTCGTCCTCTTACTCTTGCTTGTAGTCCTCCGGAAACTCGTGGTCGAGTGGGAAGCCGTCCAGGTCCAGGCCGACCTGATCACGCATGAAGGCCGCCTGATCTTGATCAAAGGTGGACGGCGTGACCACCCCTCGGTCGTCCTGGCTTTGTGTCTCATCGGGATCGTAGCCAGCAGCTAGCGTATCACGCTCGAAGATCATGTTCTGTATGTAGTCCTCGTCGTCGGAGGCTGGCATTCTGTCGAACAGGTTGCGTGCGCCCAGTAGCATGTCGGCTGGCATCTGTCGCGCGCGTTTCCTCGCGCCTCCGGATGATAAGCCACCAACCACCGGTGTGGCATTGAGGTCGATGGGCGCGGGCGCAGGCGTGGAAGGCACCACCACGCTCACCTCAAGCGAGCACTCCCCGGAGAAGTGGGAGGCCTACGGGGTAGACGTGGAAGTGCCGCATCGGGGTGCAAGCCGACGCATGGGGCGAGTCGGGCAGCACCATCCGAGGGACACATGGATGAGCCGGTGTTGGCCGCGGCCACGACGGCGTTGACGAGGCCGTGCTGGCTAGGGTTTAACCCTAGCATATAGAGCGCCTCCCTTGTTGCCGCCGCGATGCGAGCGTTGGTGACCTCCTACTGCGCAACAGCGGCGACGGCGGCCGCCGCGATGGCTTCATCCCTCGCGTCCGCCACGTGCCTCCGGCCCTTCCACTTGGTCGACTCCCTTTCCCGCTGTTCGGGCGTCATCGCCTTCTTCGGCTTGGGCGCAGCGGCGGTCTTGCGGGGGGCACGAGGCTTGCCTTTGCCGGAGGGGCGGTCGTCACGTCGGACGAGGCGAGGCCGACGGCGGCGTCGAGGTCGTCGTCCATCGCGGGGGTGGGCGGGAGCGCGCGCGGGGGGAGGTTTTTTTTTGGGGAAATGGAGGAAAATGGTGGAGGCTGCCACCGACCAGCGAGCCCGGGGGGAGGAGGAGGCGCGCGTGCGTCCGTCTTGTGTCCGCGCCAACGCAAATCCGGCTCAAAAATGGGCTGGGTATGGGTCGGTAGGCGGACGCCACGCGGACGCGCGTCCGTTTTGGGTCGGCGCGTTGGGCCGACTTTTATGTTGCATCGACCCAAAGGACGCCAGCGGACGAAATGGGTCGCCTCGTTGGAGTTGATCTAAATCCATCACTTTTAATTGCCTTTTCACTATTTAGATTGTTCATATCTTCAAAACAAAATTTTTGTTTTCGAATCTTTGTATATAATTGAACTCCCGGAGCCAAGACCTTTAGAACAAGATCAATCTTGAATACATTCGAACACGTTTAAATTTCAACGTTTGAAATGAGTGAAATCAGCTTTATGAGAAAAGTGAAATATGATCTTTCAATTGGGTGAAACCAATTTTTTTAAATGAGTGAAATATGTTTGTCATACACATGACACATTTTTGGGTGTGAAATACGTGAAACTTGTTATTTCAGAATTTTGAATGTAGTCATGTAAAACATGTGAAACTAATTATTTCAAACGTTTTTTAATGAGTGAAATCTGTTTTACGAAACAAGTGAAATTGTTTTTTGAATTGAGTCAAATAAGTTTTTTGAAATATTTGGAATCAGTGTTTTGCTTTGAGTGAAATCAATTTCTAAAGAGTGAAATTAGTTTCTCGCATTGACTGGAATCCATTTCGAACTGAAATATGAAAATGAGTAAAATTTGTTTTCTCAACTTAGTGAAATTATTTTTCTGAAATGAGTGACATTAGTTTTTTCAGATGAGTGAAATCATTTTTTAACATAGTGAAATGAGTTTTTTCTTAAATGAGTGTAATCAGTTTTACGAAATTAGTGTAGCCAGTTCTTTGAAACGAATGAAATATGTGTTTCCAAATATGTGAAATTGGTGTTTAAATTGTGTTAAATTTGTTCTTTGACACGACCATAATCTATTTTCCGAAATGGGTGAAACTGTTTTTGTAAATGAGTGAAATATGTGTTTCGGAATAAATGAGATCAGCGTTTCAAAATGAGTGAAATCACCTTTTCGAAGTGAGTGAAACCGATTCTTTGAAATGACTTAAATATGTGTTTTGATATGAGTGAAATCAATGTTTTAAAATGAATAAAATTAGTTTTTCGAAATGAGTTCAACCTATTTTAGAATGAGTTAAATCTGTATTTTCAAATGACTCATTTTTTCTTAATTGTGAAATCAGTTTTTTAAACAAAGTGAAATGAGTTTTTTGAAATGAGTTAAATCCGTTTTTTAAATGCCAAAGCGACTGAAATGGTAAAATTTAAACTACGCTAAAATATATTGAATATTGGTCTTGTTTCAAAGATCTTGTCTTTGGGAATTCAAATATATATAGACATTTAAAAATAAAACACTTATTTGAAAGATATCATTTAATAGCTAACAAGAAAGTAAAAATGTTAGTATTATAGGTTGAGTGGTCTGGGATTACATATGCATGACTAAATGGAAAGGTTGTGGGGGCATGTTCATGTATTGGTCAGGTGGTGTCAGACTAGTATAGAAATGTATTTCAACCCGTAAAAGACTTATTAGTTTATTAGTCAAGGGACAGTGTGCATGAACGGTGGATTGACATGATCGGCGGATGCTTCACCGGTACATACCGGTTCTGGTAAATTTACTTATTCGTGCACCGCTGGAGCTACCTGCGTTGGCAGAAGGAGAGGAGCAGCTGAGAGTTATACAAACAAGGTGGGTCAGGGGGAGCGTCTGACACCACTCGGGCGAGAAGCCGAGAGACATCCGTGGGGAGACGTGTAAGATCTCATATTTAGGTGAGATCATGAGATGAACCCTCCCCCCACCACCAACAAAAAAACATATTTAGACATTTCAAAAGAATCTGAAATTATTTGACAACATTCATGTGGGGCATGTCTACAATTCCGAAAAAACCAGCTCAAAACTCGTTGTACATTTAGAGATTCATTGACACTATTCACATTCGAATTTGTCTTTTTTGTTTCTATTGATGTAAGTTGAATTAGGAGATGAAAGTTTTCGAGATTGTATATCAAATATTGATGAGTGTCTACAAAAAATTGAGAATGTTTGAACATGTTTTTTTTTCATTCAAAAAAAAACGATCTCATATGTCTCACCTAATGTGAGATCTCACACACGTCTCCCCCCCTTAATCTGTTCACCATAAGTTCACACACTAAACTGATAATTCATGGCAAAGTTAAGCACAAGTGATGCATTTACCTCTTACAAAAATCCAGAAATATCCTCTAAAAAAATTCCAGAATTATTTTTCTGAGACAAAAAAAAATCCAGAAATATCTCCTTTACGCGAGACGGCAAGAGAAAGGCCGTCGCACCGGTCTCGTCTGGGAGCGGCGGGCCCACACGTCAGCCGTCCAACTCCACGGTGAGGGCCCACATATCGAAGCCGTACCCGGTTGGTGGAGGCCGCATGAACCTCGCGCCCCCCTCGGGCCCGCCACCCCGCGGCGGCGAGCGAATCAAAATAAACCCAGAACAACGCCGACGCAATCGCAACGAACGGCAATCACAATGACGGGTGGGACCGGCCCTCAACATTGACCCACGTGTCAGCTCCGGTTGACCTCTCCCAGGGCTGTCGCCGTTATAATTGACGGCGCTCGCGGCGAGGGCGTAGCTGGTTAAAGAGGCATGCTCCCTTCTCGCTTCCTGCTCCTCCCGCACTGCCCCACCGCGCCGGCCCCGACTCCGACTCCGACACCCCCCGGCGGCGCGCGCTCGCCGAGCTCGGTCGCACTGCGGTTCGGATCCCCCGGAGGCGTGCGGCTTCGTCGCGGGCGAGGGTCGGCGGCGGTCGCGATGGCATCCGACGGGCGCGTGGAGCGGATCGCGTCCAGCATCCGCGCCATCCCCAACTTCCCCAAGCCAGGTGAGCGCGCATCGTCGATGCCTCTACCCGCTCCCCCCTCTAGAACCCCTAGCTGTTCGCTTGCTCGCTCGGGTGGGTGGGTCGATCTGGTGGATGCCCAGTGGCGGCGGCGGCGGCGGGTTGCTACCTGGTGTGTCGAGGAAGTCGGCTAAAGCTATGCTAGTACCTGTGGTTTACGCGGTTTTGTCCTGGGGTTATCATTTCTTAGACCTCGCAGGGTAGCAGCGGGTGGACGCCGGTTTGGTGGATTTTGCCCAAGTGCAGCAGATGCAAACCACGCTAAATTTTAGTGCGACCATTATAAGGTGTTGCGAAATAACTGAGCTAGTTCTGGAGAAAATAAAATCTCACCGAAATCATGGCATCGAACCAAACGACAACCATATTTTACTAAGACAATCGTGAAAGTTTGGTAAGGTATAAACTTCAGCTCACAAGGGTACAGACCATACATCTCCTAGGTTAGAACTAACCAAAGAGTGTAAATTGGTGTTGTAGCATATTGCTGCTGCGGTTAATGAAGTAAGAAATTCAAGTGAGTTTTTATGGTGAACTAATAGTCGTTACAAGCAGGATGTGTCAATTGCCATTGCCATTTGCCAACAGCTGCAACAACTTGTGTAGGAAGCAAAGCAATGTAGCAGACTGCTATAGATTTCTTAATAGTAGATTTATACAATTGCTTATCATTACAGGCTAGTGAACAGGGACATGAATTGTGGCGCATGGAATTGATTCTGGCTGGTAGGAATTTGCTTATGGTCACGCCCTGATTTTTCTGTAATGATGGGCGACATGTGAACTATTGGTTTGTGTGGTGTTGAGCTGTTGGTAAATGGCAAGTGTACCTTTAGAGCAGGAGCATGTGTGCTCTATATTGTTACATGCAAAGAATAAGAATTATTTTATTTAATCATGTGTCTCGTTGTTTCTTCATGCAGGGATTTTGTTTCAGGACATCACAACCTTGCTTCTCGATCCGCAGGCATTCCGTGACACCACTGACCTCTTTGTCGAGCGGTACAAGGACAAAGACATAACTGTAGTTGCTGGTAATGTGAAATTAAGCGGAATGCCTTTTTGTCTTAAATGTTCCTATTATTTAAAGGCCAAAATTGTAAATAAAATTTTGGTTTTTATTTCTCTGGTGTTAATTTATCATATTTGTTGCTATTATTATCAGGTGTTGAAGCCAGAGGATTCATTTTTGGTCCTCCCATTGCATTAGCCATAGGTGCAAAGTTTGTTCCAATAAGGAAGCCGAAAAAATTACCTGGTATGTTCTTTCAGTGCTTAATATGTAGAAGCTGCTTTTATTGAACAGGTATACTTCAGGTTCGAACTGGATGCATTAGCTAATAATGTTGCATATCTATACTAGGTGAGGTGATATCGGAAGAATATTCTCTGGAATATGGCACTGACAAAATCGAAATGCACGTAGGAGCTGTGCAGCCCAATGACCGAGTCCTTATTGTGGATGATCTAATTGCCACAGGGGGAACCCTTTGTGCCGCTGCCAAACTTATTGGTGAGCTTCTATATTCAGTTCTTAACGTGCTTTGTTCCTGTGTAGAAAATATCTTAAATGTGTGAATGGAAAACCTTGTTAATCAAGGTTCATTTGACTTCCAAGTTGCAAAATATATAACCTCCACCCCAAACTTGAGATAGCTGCCAACCACATGGAGCTTTTTGCCAACCATTTTCCTGGTTCCTCATCCTCAAGTGCTCTCCCACCTCTCTCAAAGTACCTAGTGATAATCCTTGAGAGGAAGACCAAGGACATGTTTGAGATTTGAAATCTACACTGAGAAATGCATCGAGTTCATCTCCAAAGATTCATCAAACTTATTTCTTTTGGTAGGGTCTTCTAGACGGTTGGAGTCCCGTGAGAGCTTCCTAGTTTTTCGATAGACTCGCCAAGTTTGTAAAGGCTATGGTTCACCTTTGAAAGGAAATCAGGGAGACGCATGTGGCTCCCTCGAGAGGAATAAGCTTGAGAGATAGAGAGCCAGACCGGACCTATGTCATCGGACACCTCAACACGTAAGATCCCCCAAGGATCCAAACTTCGACAACAAATTGTTGTCTCGTTGGTTTACTCTTTCCGCCTACTTTACTAGCTTGTTACCTCGGTTGCTAGGGCCACTAGTTCCTTAGCTCCTAGTTTATTCTACCTAGATTTGCGTGAGAGGACCTTTTAATTCTTCTATTATTTGAAAAGGTTCAACTTTTTAAGAAAAATCAATTCATATTCATAAAATATTTCAGTTCCACAGTTCTAAGAAAATATCTAATTTGGAATAAAATTTGGTAGTTGCCTATTCACCCTCCTCTCTAGCCGACATCTTTGAACTTTGATCTGAAATAAAACCAAAAATCCTTCATAGATTAAATGTCCACATTCTTGCATATGCACCAAAAGTATTTAAATAGTTCCTTCTAAAACTAGCCGTCAGGGTTTTTCTGCGAAAACCTTGACAGTTAACTGTCCAACTCGTATCCAGCACTCTGGATTCAATAACCAACAACCACTTTGGCCGATGTGGCAGCTACCACGCACAACCGACCAACTGCTTCTCACATGGACTCTTGGTTTCTAGACAACTCGACTTCCACCCGGAAACTCTGTATGCCCAATATAGGTAGCCACAAAAGCTTCCCGAGGTAGCGCAGGTATGTGTAGGGTCAGCCGAGATGTTCACACTGGGTCAATCAATCCAGACCCGGACAGTCAGGGTCAGATCTAGAGACTTCGGTTTCCACCCGGGACACTTTGGCTGCTCATCATAGGGAGCCACAAAGGCTTCTATGGGGAGCCCAAACGTGTCCATTCTCGGCCGAGGGGTTCGTATTGGCTTGATGAAAACAAGCTTGATCTGTCTGGCTCCAACCAAAATACTATGACTTGTATAGATTTGGTTTGCATATAGGTAAGAATTTTGTCTTTGGGTGACAAGGTTCGAGTAATGTGCATTGAGCTATTTTGTGAGCGTTCCATGGAACCCCCCTTCACAGTATGACTTACATATGTACACCCAATGTAAGTTTGATCACTTAAGCCTAGGGAAACTAATGTTCTGTTGGTTACTTGGTTTTGCTGTCATCTTTTAACTTCTCCGTTCGGGGATACACTAATACTGTTTCACTTCACTTTCGTGGGACTAAATCGGAGCTTTCACTCATGAAAATTGTTAGCCCCTTAATGGCTTGTTATTTGTCACCAAAACCCACTGGGATGGAATGCAGTTTCAAATGGTAACATACCTCCCAAGTTCTGAATGGAATGCTGTCCAATTATGCTCATATAGCAGAGGTGTGAATTGGTAACCCTTAGGTTGCTCACATCACTTTTGGAAAACCAGTTCATTTGTTTGAACTAAAGAGAAAACTAGTTCATTTGTTTGAACTAAAGAGGGTTTCCCTAAAGGTTACCCCATTTGCACTTATTACATTTCTTTCCTATTGTTTATCATATGCTGATTCATTTATCTTAATGATGTCCTATGTTGTAGAGCGTGTTGGAGCAAAGGTGGTTGAGTGTGCCTGTGTTATTGAACTGCCAGAGCTGAAGGTACATTTTACTTCCAATGCATATCTCACTGTTTATGTGAACAAAACATTGTTCATACTTAATTGTTAGAATTATTGTCATGCTCTTATTAGCAATTTTCGATTCATGTATTTTTTGTTTGGTTAGCTTTTGATAAGTAATCATTGGGAGGTTTTGCTTCCATGTAGTTAATGCATGCAACTATGAGAATTAGTTGCATGAATAAAGGACAAAGGAACTTCACATTGATGTGTTCTATCGAGGATTATACCACTTGTTATCCACCTAAATATACTAGGATTAGACAGTTTCGTACTCTGTGCTTTTATCCTCGTGCAGTTGAATAACGCAATGCCTCATCCACACTGCCATTGGTATAAGCAGACTCTCTCGAAACAGGCTCGCGCCCTGCTTTATAGATAAAGCAACAACCAAAGTACACGGCCGAACGATACAAAGTGGAGGGGTGGCCCTCTTACAAAGCAGATCCTCGGATATCGGTACTACGCAGAGACTACGCTACCAGAGAAGAACAAGGGGGAGGTCAGAGTACAACGCCACGCCACGTCCTAGCACACCTAGACTCCACGACAACGCCCTCAGGAGGGGGAACGGCGCAGAGCGTCACCGCTGCCGAGTCCGGAATGGACAAGGGTCTTCACCCGGAGCCCGGACATAGAGAGAAGAACCACAATGACGTCTTCAGGAAGATAGCGGCGCCCGCAAGCGTCGCCGTCATCGGCGCCAAAGCGCGGAGCTTTCACTCGGCAACTCACCCATGTCACACGGAGATACCCAGGGCATACGCGACGTGTTTCGGCTCCCATATTTGGATCCGGCCATCACCAACAATGACGGACCCGAGCCACCAGCTGCTAGCCCTCTTGCCGCCCACACGACCAAGAAGAAAAGCCACCGCCGCCGCCATGAGGCCCGCCGGAGAGCCAAACATGGGGACCACCGCCCCGGCATCCCTACCCCAAGTCCCCGCCACCCATCCACCACACGGCACACCAAACCCAGCAGGTAGGATGGAAGGCCGTCCTTCAACACCTAGCCCGGCATCAATCCCCGGATCTGGGTCAGCACCTCCATCGTAGGAGGCGCCGACTCCTGCATCCCCAGCCAGTCCCGGTGGACCCAGGGACATGACCCTAGGACTGCCGACGGCCGCCGCCAAATCCGAGATCATTAGTGCCACACGGCAAGACAAGAACGCAGAGCCAGGACCCACCACGGCACACCGCACCCGCAAGGACACACTCACGGGTACATCCCGGGCCGGTCCCAAACCTCATCTACCCGGAGAGCACCCCGGTCCGCCTCGGGCCCAAATCCAGCCCGCCCGAGCACAAACCCTAGGTCAGGGGAGCCGCCGTTGTGCGCGCAGCCAACAGCCCCGCACGCCGCCGGCTCCAACCCAGGAGAAGGAAGTTCCCCACGCCGCTGCCCCGCGCCACCAGCCAGACCACAACTGCTGCGTCATCGGATCTGGACCAGCCCGCACCTCCGTCCGCACCCACTGCGGCCAAAGGGGTGACCACCAGCGAGCAGGACCCACCGCCACCTTCAGCCGCCGCCGCCAGCCGGCCAAACGACGGCCTCCAACCCGCGCCACCGCAGCCCTCGTCGCCCGGCGGCCAGATCCAGCGGGGGCGATGCGAGAGGGGAGGGGGTCCGTCCACTATCGGTATAAGCAGACTGAGAATGCACCTTATGACTTGCGGCTCGCTACAAGGAAGGAAAGATGTGCAAGCCATTATCAGAAGTTCACCAACGAAACACTTAGACTACTCTTTTCTACAGTTTTTGAAATAATAATTGATTAACTGCCTAAGGTCATGAATTTTACAGCTTAATAAATCATAATTCTCATCTATGAGCAAAACTGAATTCTAGTTAGATATGACTTATAGTTGCTTATCATGAGAACTTTGCTTTGTTCCAACGATGTTTCCCTTCAGCATGTATGTCCTAACCATGGCATGTATTTCAGGGCCGGGACAAGTTGGGGGACATGCCAGTTTTTGTCCTAGTGCAGGCAGACGAATCAGTATGAAACAAGTTGTGACTCTTGAGTTGTTCCAATGATGTTCCCCTTCTGGAACTATACTGGAAGCAGCAAAGATATCCGTTACAATCTTAGCTAGTTCCTATCTGGAGCTGCTCAATAAAAGTTTCATTTTTAAATTTGTCCTTCTGGAACTGTTTGGGAATGGAGACTTGATTGTTGTTCCCTGTAATACGTGGCTTATTTCTGTCAAAAACAGTGCAAATTATTCATGTCAATGAAGGATGATAGTCTGTACTGAAGTTTGTTTCTGTTGCTACTTGCTAGCATTATTTACTTTCATGCTTTGTTAGTGCTTGTCATGACTGAAAATTGCCGACCCATTTTTTGTTGATGTATGCAGATCTCCTGCATTTATCTGAGATTTTTGTGGTGTCTGTACTTGGTATACTCATGGATGTGTTTCCTCCATGACCATTCGCCATGTTTGGTTATGGTTATGCTTTTGTAGTTTGATGTGTGTCTACTCAAATGTACATTTTACCATCTTTGTGTCGGTCAAATTATGTTGCATCTGGCCATGCACTTGTATGGTTGGAAAGTCCCCCGACAGAATTGCACTTTGAATAAAAGTTAGTTGCTCAGGTCGATCAGGATCTTGAATCTTTGCCAACAATAATTCTGTTCTTGTTTGAATTTTTTGGGTTACCATCATGCTATAATTGAACTGTCCTACATAACTGTGAGAAGGTAATTTTAAAGGATACCGGAACTAAAGTAGTTATGCATCCAGTTGGAATTTCATTTCTTTCTGAGCATGTATCATGGTCTATTTCTGTTAATTGAACTGTCCTACCTAACTTTGAGAAGGTACTTTTAAAGGATACGGGAACTTCAGTAGTTATGCATCTAGTTGGAATTTCATTTCTTTTTGAGCATGTATCATGGTCTATTTCTGTTAACTAAGTAGGAATAGGAATATTGCTTAACCGAGCTATGCTTTTGAAAGTTGAAACTCGAAACTATAGGGCCAAAATGTTTTGCTAGGGTGTTTCTTTTTTTGCAGCCTTAGTCAACAATTTGTGAATTAATTCTGATGCTTCCTTCACTGATGTCCTAATCGAAGATGCTAGAGTATTGTTTGACTTCCAAGTTATTTATGTATTCAGGGAATAGTTTCATGATTACCTTTTGACGTTGAACTATTATGTATAATCTCTGACTTCTATTTTGTTTCATGCTCTTTGAAGTTTCATCTGTTTACTTTGACTTCTCTTGCCTGGCATTAACTGATGAATGCCAAAATTCTTCTTTGTGGTTTCTGGGGATAGGGGCTGTGTAACTACTATCAATCTTCATATCTGAAGAAAGAAATATATTACTTTGACATTGGTGACTGCATACTTTTTAGGTTGCTATAATTTGGTCAAGTCCTGATACATCTTTGCTTTAATGGTACTGGGGCTCCTATATATATCGCTGTGTAACCTCCCTTTACATATGATTGTTTTTCTCTTCTATTTTCTTGGAGTTCAGCATGCTGACTGGACAAAAAATGGCCACTTTTCCGGTTTGAGTTAAAATAGAGGATGGATCAAGAGATACTTCTGTCATTAACATAGAAACTAATATTACCAAGCAGTATGTTGCTATTAGCAGTAGGGCACTAGTGAAAACTCCACAGGTCTGAAGTTTATATGCATGTTGTTTTCCCTTTGAATTTAGTTTCATATGTATATGTATATGATTTGATAAAATGTTTTCTCATTGAATATGTTTAAGCTGAATGGAAATTGTATCTGATGTTGTGGTATTGATGCATGAATTCTTTTGGAACCTACATAGTTCAGTCATAGCACAATATCTGTGTTTGAGTAGTTTAGATGGCAATGTGAACAAGTTTTACTGGTTAGTGCCGTAATTTCCCCTTTGCTATTAGCTTATGAAAATACATTGAGGATCTTGGTTTCTTAGTAAACTATCGTATTGAGTTTTGTGCGATCAACACAAATAATGAAATCGTAAACAATATTGCATTACTTTTGTCAACTGAAAATGAGAGAAATATCACAACTCTTATATTCTTACTTCTGCCTTTATTTAGTACTAATATATTCAGTGATTTAGAATCCCATCGATTGTGATCACTTAATGTTGACATGGTAAATTGCTCCTGCCTCCCCACAATCATTACTCGGATATTTACTATGAGCAATTAGACAAACTAACTGACATGTTTTGTAAAATATTTGATTCCTATTTATACAAACAATATTTGTCCCCATAATTCATTGTTCAGATATTTACTATGAGCGGGTAGACAAACTAACTGACATATTTTGTAAAATATTGGACTCCTATTTATACAAACAATATTTGTTTATAAAAATACCCTCCCATTTTATCATAATGTCAGAAACTTAAAATTATGATATGACTTTGAGGAAGTGAAAAAGGAACATGTAGAAATATTCTTAGATCTGTAAGTTTAGCTATCTTTTCAAGCTACCATGTTCATCTTAAAAAACTATTGTTCTTCACAGAAATCATAGCAGGGGAAGACTATTCCTAACATAGTTTATTCGTGCCAGTTTGTGCACATAATTTAAAAGCTAAGAAACACTAACAAGAGAATGTCTTTTAGGATATTCGAAAGGGAGTAATCTCACAAGCAATTTTGGCTTTCCCATGCTATTAGTTGACCTTCCAGGAAGCAGAAAATAAACGTAACCGCATATTTAGTAATGATCTCATGTCAGGCTATTCATTCTACTCTGTTAATGATATCTGCTTGCCTGTTTAGGTCTTCTGTAATGCATAATTGCATATGCATGCAATTTTGCCGCGTAACATCGGAGGCATCGTTGCTTCTTTGATACAGCTAAAGGGTAGGGATCATGGGCCATAAACTAACCTCGTATTGTTTCCTTTGAATCATTCTCCTTGCCAGCATCTTAGCTGTTCTTGTTTACCAAAGAGGGGCATGCAATCTTTTTTCAGAACATGACAGAAGTACAGCTGATTTATGCATTGTGGTGGATCTGAGTCATGTGCAGCTATTGATTACTAGATATATACGCAGATCACTTCCTACCCATGAGGATAGCAGGATCAGATCTCCATGTCGGATGTCGCACAAACTTGACACCTTAAAGGGAGACCTACATTGTGGCACCCATTCTGATGATGCACATGCTCATTGATTGTTGAAACGTGCCATAATCTGAATTTAAGATCTAACTGGGGTTTCAGCACAGTTTTTTTGGGAATGTTGCTGTAATGTTACCATGTTGACCTTCGGATACGTTAGAATGAAGAAACCAACTGATGACAATGAATGATACAGATCTGTTCATTTTTTCAGTACATTTTGCTGGTCCATCATCACTGCATTTCTCTGGTTTGATGCTGTTGACAGAAACTTATTTCTATGTTAGTTCAGGATAGAAAGTTTAACTAGATTGATGTCGGTTATCGTGTGTAAAATGTCAATGTGGTAAATCTTTCAGGATACCAACCTCCAAAATCATGCAAGTATTGAACATCAATGCTGCTGCTGCTGCGGGCACAGGGTGTGAGAATTATTTGCAGATCCAGACCTTGATATCCATAGAGGTGTGCTTTCATATATCCTCTTTTTGAGTTCTTAAGAATGTTCAGATTCCTTCCACCATGTTCGTGCAGGCATGTCTTTGCATATCCTACTTTTGTTTATTCCATCTCTAACCAACAGCAGTACACATATTTTTGCAAGAAAGAAAGCATGAGCACATAGTTGTCTTGATCTTATTCTATTCTATTCCAAGGTAAACTCTTGCTATTCCGGTTCAGAGCTCATAGACTTCCTTTGCCTGTCCTCGATGAATCATGGACCAATGATTAGTAAAATGTCTCTAATCATTGTGCGGTTTCTTCGGAGACAGGCCGCATAACCGTAATCTTGGACAAGTCACTGTCTTGCTCACCAACCAGCAGTTGAAATTCTCTAAACTTGTCGTCTTCAGCTCTCCACATCACCACAACATTACCATGGTTGTTGCTAATCGCTAGCCTATCACCACACACTTCATGCCACCCATTGACTGTCCTTTGTTCACTCATGCTCACATTTTCTTTATTCTGCAGATGTTGTCCCCTGCAACCTCTCAGAATTCTGAACAGTATAAAAGCACCTGAACTGTTGTGCATTTGTCTTCACCCCTCTCAACAGCAAGTGCCTCCAACCACACTCCCCAGGCCACCCTTCGCCTCCAAGGCTCCCAAGTCCCAAATTCACATCTAAATGGAGGCTGGAGGCCTGATTTCGGAGGCTGGCTGGACCATGTTTGACTTCCCGCCGCAGGGCGAGGAGTCCGATATCATGGCGCAGCTGCTTGGCACCTTCCCCTCCCATGCCGAGGAAGCCCAGCAGGATCTGCCTTGGTATCAGGCTTCCCATCCATCCTACTATGACAGTGATGTTCATACAAGTGCGTGTAGTGACAGCAATGATGGTAGCTTTGCTGTTCCATCCGAGTGCATGGGCTACTATTTGGGTGATTCAAGTGAGGCCCTGGGCATCAGCTCCTGCACTGTACCACAGGACTTGAACTTGGTCCAGGAGCAAGGTGCTACCGAGTTTCTGAATATGATCCCAACCATTTCCCATGATTTGTTCGGGAAGGGCGAGTCAAGCTGCGAGGGTCTCGACTCGGTCAGTGCTACTAACAAGAGGAAGCATTCGGTGGAAGAAGAAATCAATGGCCAAGCGAGAGTAAGTCCTGAGGATGACTGATCATTCTGTTCACCGGCTATGTCTTTTAGAATGATATATGTTCATGCTGTTAGTGTGGATACTGACTGTAATTGATTAATTGCAGGGTCGGAAATGCGCAAGGAAGGCTGCACCAAAGCGAGCAAAGAACGCGAAGCAAACCGAAGCGAGCTGCTGCACCTCTGACAATGACTCGAATGCTTCTCAAGAGTCTGCAGATGCTGGTGTTACTCCAAAAGGCAAGGCCCGGGCTGGACGCGGGGCGGCAACCGATCCCCAGAGCCTCTATGCAAGGGTACTGCCAATAATCATCTCTTTCGCATCTCAAGGAATTATCTTTTGCAACTGAATGTGAATACTAATTCTCTGTTCTTTGCTTGAGCAGAAAAGGAGGAAAAGGATCAACGAGAGGCTGAAGACACTGCAGACCCTTGTGCCCAATGGAACCAAAGTATGCTTCTGAACATTCATGCTACTGATAGCCTACATGAATAAAAATGCTAAGATCCAATGGCTAAATCAACAATATTGTTGTATTGATCTTGCAGGTAGATATGAGCACCATGCTTGAAGAGGCAGTCCAGCATGTCAAATTCCTGCAACTCCAGATCAAGGTGAGCAGTTGCTCAATTTAGTTCGCTTCGACATCAGACAAATTGTTCCATGGCGGACATTGCGACTGACGAATTTCTCTTGTCAATTTTCAGGTCCTCAGCTCTGATGAAATGTGGATGTACGCGCGGATTGCGTACAACGGGATGAACATTGGACTTGATCTGAACATGTAGAGATGATTTTGGCAGTCTCGAGCGGGGAATGCAGTTTGTGTTTGAGATAAACGAGTTCTCCACTAACCATTCGATGTACCTGTGTTACCATGTGTCGTTTTGGAATCTGTTATACAGATCATCATAGGCGCAGCAGTAGCATACTTAAACTTGTGAAGAGGCCCTCTTAGAGGATCAGTAAACTGAAGATAATACTACCATTTTCTTGACATTAGCATGAAATGCAAGATCTTGAAAACTTGTAGATTTGTATTTGTTTTCTTTGGAGCAAATATAGTTCTTTTGTTGGCATCTGATGATTTGTTCAATGATCTAGTCTCTTGTGGTTTGCAAAGTTGCAGCCTTGAAGACCTCAAACCCTGACACTTTAAGATAAATGACTGAAACTGCGAAATCATATTGGAATGAGCTTCATAATTTTTGGGGGACACAAATGTTCGGCCTTGCGATATACTATGAGCTATCACCATAAAAACATTTCTCAATTCCATTTTCTCTACCCTTTCCACTATGAAGAATGAGCTTCATAAAGAAAATAACCATGCATGTAGCTGACCGTTGACGTGCATTAGAATTTGCATTGACATTTCCAACATAGACTGAATTCATTAATTATAAAGTTTTAGATGCGAGAGAAAATGTATTATTAAGAGGGATGTGATATGCAGAACAAATCATGCACTCTCCATTCTGACATTCAGGCCGGCACACACAAGGATGCGAGCATTTCGATTGGGACGCTCCGGTTTTCCTGGCTTGCTGGGCATGGTTGACCAGTCCACTATTGACTTTTCAAGTTTTTTTTTTAAATCAGGAATTCAAAAAAATGTTTGTGAAAATTTTAAAAAATCATGGTTCAAAAATAATAATTCACGAACTCAAAAAAGTTCACGAGTTCAATTTTTTTATGGGATTCAAAAAAGTTAATGAATTTGAAAAAAGTTCAAGAACTTGAAAAAGTTCATGTGTTTAAAAAAAGTTCACAGGATTCAGAAAAAGTTCATACATTTGATAAAAAGTTCACGACCTTGAAAAAAATTCACAAGTTCAGAAAAAGTTTGCGGATTTAAAAAAGTTCATGAATGTGAAAATAAAGTTCACAAATTTGGAAAAAGGTCGCGTGTATCAGGGATTTGGGAAAAACTTCACGATTTTGAGGGAAAGAGTTACATAAAATTGGAAAAAGTTCATGAATTCAAGGAAGAAATGTTCACAATATTTTTTCTAAAAGTTCATGAATTAAAGAAAAAGTTCACGCATCTAAAAAAATGAAAAATAAATAAATAAACAAATAAAACCGTCATGAAAACCTTCAAAAGAAAAGAGAAAAAAATCGTCAGAAACTTCATAAAACCGGCTGGGTTCGCTTCCCAAAAAAACACGCGCATGACAAAACGTTGAACAGAAAACTAGCCGATGTGCGCCAAAATGTTTGCGACCCAAAAAGGAAAAAAAATTAATGGGCCGAGCCCAAGGAGAGAGTGGGGCAGGGGGCAGCAAATAAGATCGGCCGCCAGGGGTCAAGTGGGCGAAGCTACATAGCAGCTTCGAGGCCAGAAGCCTGAACGCAGTACTAGCAAGGCACAACTAAAAGCATCTTTAGCAGACCCCGCAAAATCCCAACCCGCATAAGCCATTTACAGTTCGACGAAGATCTCGTTTGCGGGTCGAAAACGTGCGCGGCAGAACAAAAATCGTATATGAAATTGCATAATTTGAAAAAAAGTTTTACGGGAGAAATTGCAACCATATAGTTCATCACATACTACATATACTAC